TTATCTCAAAAAACAATGGCTAGCTCTTCATCCCTCGAAGTTTGTATCTATTGCTCTGAAGGATTTCCTCCTGCTCTCTCTTCCTCTGCTCGACTGATAGGGCCAGAGGAAAGAGTGATATCAACGTCTCCCGAGTCTTCTACCTCTTTAAATGACGCCATTTTAAAACACCACCAAGGCAAAGAGATCATTCTAAAGACCTCATCTCCTCTCTCTTTCTCCACCAGTCATGTGACCCTACTCTCAGTCGAAGGCATGACGTGTCAATCTTGTGTTAAACTCATTCAGAATACTCTCCCAGGTCAACCAGGTGTATCTGGAGCTATTGTCTGCCTTCATCACAAAGAAGCTTTTGTCGAATTTGATTCCACTCAAACCACTCCCAATGATATTGCCAAAGCTGTATACGACATGGGGTTTGATGCTGAAGTGAAATGGTCACACCCACAACGTCCCCCTTCCCCTCTTTCTCCTATTCCCCCTCAATCTCCTCCCTCTTCTCCCCCGGCCATTTTAGAACCAAACGTACTAGAGCCGAACATAGTCATAGACGATGGACGCGTTTCATTCTCTCCCTCAGACGAAGAACCGATCAAACTCGTTTACATAAGGATTAAAGGGATGTCTTGTAATTCCTGCGTTTCTAATATCACAGCTGCTCTCACCTCTCACATAGGCGTGGTCAGTGCCCACGTCTCACTCTCTGATGAAGAAGCCACGGTCCAGTACAACAGTAAACTGGTGGCCGTTGACGACCTCAGGCAAGTGATAGAGGGACTCAACTCGAAATTTAAAGTGACAGACATGCCCGAGGGAAGAGTGGGCGGGGCTAGTTACTATGACAGCAAAGTACCGCAAAGAAAGAAAGCAAAAAGAGTAAGAGATTATTATTTTTTAATTGATAATAATTTTTCTATTTTTTAGAAAGAGAATGAGATTGTCATATTAAGCGACAGCAGCCTCCCTCCTTACAGAGACCATGCCTCTGGACACGCCCTAAAGAGAGCCTCCAGTCCAGAGTCTAAGAAAGCCCAGTACAAGGTCACTGGAATGACCTGTTCTTCATGTGTCAGCAAAATTGAACGGAACTTGGCAAGCAAGCCTGGTAATGAGTAGCATAAAGACATACATGTACATTTACATGTAATGTGATGTGTACTATTTTCACTTTAATTTGGCATCTTTTTCTCTCATTTCAAAGGTGTATACTCAGCAACAGTTGCTCTGTTGGCTGAAAAGGCAGATGTCTCGTATGATCCGAATGTGACCGATCCTGATAAGATATCGTCAGCTATACTTGGTCTGGGATACAACGCACAGTTACTCTCCCAGGGGGAGGGGCTTGAATCTGGTACTGTTGATCTTGAGGTAAATGTACTTTAAAATATTGTTAGTTTTTGTAAAAGA